CTGGTCTTCCAGTACGTCGAAGAGTTGTTCCAGGCGTCGAGCACGCTCCAGAAGGAAGTTTCGGCTTCCTTGACCGATTTCTTTGCGGATCTAGAAGTTAAGCCTTGTGTCCTCCATTTTGCCGACAAGGACGGGTTCCAGATGCAGCTTTCTCTGCGATTTCTTCTGGGGAAACGGATAAACATTGACTCCACCAAAGTACGGCTCGTCAGTGCCGGCGGTGGTCAAAGCAACGAGCATTGGATCGAAGCTTCTACCAAAGCCACTGTCAAGTCATCCCTGACAAAGGTCCTGGTGGATTCATCGGTGAGTAACCGCTCTTTTCCGGCCCATTGGTCTCTGCTGATGTCTTTTTAGATCACCTTGCATGGGAAGTACTATGTGGATCGTCTCGAGGTGCGGTCTGGTAATCTTACTTTCACATTCGGCGGCGGGAAGAACATGGCTCTCCCGGTGGGATTCAGAGAAGCTGGGGAGGCCGAAATTGAAGACAGCCGGCCCTACATCTACTGTTACCCCCCACCGGAAGGACTGCAGGCAAAGATCGTACCTCCTCACCTAGTCAACCTCGAGGAAATGCGAACGCTGGAGCTGGAACTCAATAGCGGACGGAACGATATCAGCACAGGGACTCTCCGGGTGAGGCCCGCCACCGCGGGGCTACGGCTCCGAGTGGCAGAGGCCGAGCTGGTGGAAGGCGACATTACGATTGTCAGCAACAGCGACGGAAACATCGAGTTCGCAAGCCTGAGCGCACAGTCCTTCGTCCGTCTACGGATCCCTTACACAGTGGAGGAAAACCACCCTGTCCTATTCGCGCGAGCCGAGATTGGATACGAGACGGAAATCGGCCAATTCTCGTACTCGTCGACACACAGCATCGTCTCCGGTCTCCCGATCAGCGTCAACGTGCAGGATGCCTTCAAAGACAGCATCCTCTTCTCTCGGTTTACCATCAGTCCGGCCATGATGATTCCGCTCCGGATTCTGACATGCCGCATCCCAAGCTCCGACGTCTACCAGGTCCAGTCCAACGTGGGGGAATCCGTCGCGCTAGACGTATTCCCCAAACAACCCGCGTCCCTTGTCTACAAGATCCAGCAGCGGGAGGACTGCGTCACGTCCCCGGGCTCGAGACGGTCGCTCCGCCTCAGCGTGGACTTCACATGCATCGACGACGAGTACCTGTCTGCAGTGGAGCAGACGTTCCAGGATAGCATCGCGTCCAGCAAATTCCGCGAATACACGACGCTGCTCACGTCGCACATCGTGGAAGCCGTCCGCGCGCAGTTGTCGATCTCTGACATGGAGGTGATCGCGCTGGTGCGTGAGACGGAAACGCTGGGATACACGAGTGTTGGATGGGATGGGCTTTTAGGCGCACTCAAGGGGTCAATGGACGAGTTGAGAGCGTGGCTCCAGGAGTGGCACACGGTAAGTACTGCATACACGACCGCTTTAGATCATCTACGGCCGTCTTGCTTTAATCATGACAGACCCCAAGACTGACGTTCTAAACCAACAGCAACACCCCGTCATCGTACTCCCAACCCAGCCCTCCATCCCGCGCCGACACATCATCATCCCAGTCGACATCCCCGAAGTGCAAGTAGTGCACACGGCCGAACTCCGCCTGAACAACCTAGCCACGGACCCGCGCCACGCAGCCGTCGGCCAGATGATCTCCGGGGATCTCGTCCTCCGTCACACCCGCCGATGGTGCACACCAGCAAACCGCGAAAACGGCACCGGGAGCCTCGAGTTCGCGTACGAGATCCACGCGAACCCCGAACACTGGCTCGTCAGCGGGCGACGCCGGGGGAACTTCAGCGCCAGCGAGGGCGAGACCACCACCTTCCCCGTGATGCTGCTACCCCAGAAATCAGGCCATGTCCTGCTCCCGGGTCTCGAGATCCGCACGTTCGTGCCCCCGCCTCCTTCGACGCAGTCGGCAAATGCTGCCGCCGCCGCTGCGGCCACTGCTGCTGCGGGAGGAGGGGCGGTGCAGCGGCGCCAGGTACCTAGCGAGCTGGACTATCGCAACCACGCGGAGACGCTATTGGTGTTACCGGATCTGCGGGCGACGACGGTGCGGTTGAGTCCCGGGAGTAGCGGGCATGGAGTGGCCTGGTTGGTTGACTCGGAGCGGCGGGTGATGCCTGCGTAGGTGGTGCCTAGGAGGTGGTGCCACCTGCTTCCTTGCATTTCTGGAATGAGGGGGTGGGGAGGTAGCAATCGGATGATACACTACCTACCTACTAAGTATATAGAAATCCAACCAGTAATATATGACTATACTGTAATGAATAAGCGCAGAGATGTCGTCCCTTGCTTCAGTTCATACAAGGATTGTTTCACAGACAGTCATTCAATCTAGTCAGCTAGACGTAGATTTTCTTCAAACTTCAAACCAGTGAAGCCATATATATAATCATATATCAGCCGCCCAATTTATTCCCAAAGGTATCGAACATGATCCAAACCAGGCCAGATAGCCAGGACACTTCTCCCCAATCCCATTTCTAGACCAACAACAATAAAAAATAAATAAAAAACCCACTCACGCCGCACGAAGAAAAAAAGAACAACCCTCCCAATCGACAAATCAGACCAAGCCTTTTCCTCTCCCTAAACCAACGGAGTAATATAGTGATAGCCCCACAAGAGTTAGCGCCCGAACTCAAGAAACAAGACTAGACAGTAGACAGTCCCGAGGGGGAAAAACTAAAAGCGACAAGGAAGAGAGTTTCCGCCCCACTTGGGTGGAATCGGACCCACTTCTCAACAAAACGATGGGCTGCCCCAACAAAAACTAGGGATTGACGGGCCTATCAGGTTCTTCTTGTTGTTTGTAGGTAGATAGGTGGTCTTTGTATGTGATGTTTTCGGGGTGGTTTCTTTCTGGGAGGTTTTTTATCTACGGTAAAGAGGGAGTAGATGGAGTATTGTAGGATTGATATGACTTTGTTGGTTGTATGTTGATTCAAACGTATATCAAAATTGAATCGAGGATTCCTCAACCGTATCTTTTGCTCCCGCCGGAGAAACAGAAACACAAATCACGATATAATAGAAATTTGAAATATCAAATAAAAAAGACAGTCACATGCTGCACATTCTCCCGTCCATCGTCTGATCATAATGATCAACCATTATGTGGCCCTTCCCACCAGATGGACATGACGGTCTTGAGGGGCATGGACCATCACCCACTACAGAAACCAATGGCAGGGATCGCATTACCTTGTTTCATGGCCAGGCGAGAGGCTATGACTTCCAGAGTAGGACGGCAGATGGGGGATAGATCGGTGTTTTGGATGCTGCATCTGTCGGTCATCGGTATAGACTAAGGTATAGGGCCATTCGCTCGAGGTTCCGCCTGGTTATCTTGTAGAATCACATGAGGCGACTCAGTCCATCACGATCAAGAACAAGACCGAACGTGCTGTTGGCTTGATCAGGCAGTAGCAGTGTACGATCTCTCCAGGTCAATCATCATCACAACCAATTGTCAAAAAGAACGTGAAATACGGAGTATACACTGGACCCGATCAAAGACCCCAATCCAATCCCAACAACGAACGATAAGATCCAACCCGAGTCATCTCCGGTGGGAAAAGCGGCCAGTTCCATTCACAGGTGTTTCCGTTCCTAACCTCGCCCAAGACGGTAGGTATCGTCCTTCGGCCTCTGCCACACTTTTGTTCTTGCGAGGCAGGTCTATCATATGATACCTCGGGCCCTTGTGAGGGACCGGAAAAGAAGGAACGAAGATCAGGTCAGATCGTTTGTTGAGAGCAAAACCCGTTCTGTTCGCTGAGTGTGGCCGCAGTGGGTCTGTCTATCGCTCCACTGATTGGCTGTGTATTGTGGGTTTCTGATCCCCCGGTTCCTGGTGTGTATTTTACGGGTTTTTTCTTTTTAATTTTTTTGCAACTTGCGGGTGTCCGGACCCTGGATTTATTGTTCTGATAGGATTAGCCACCCACATGGCGATCGACTCAACAGGAGCGGTGTATATTCGTTTGTTTAACTATTTTTTTGGCATGTGACAATAAATCAATAATATAAAATCTCAAAGATAGAGGTACGTTGGGAGACAGAGAGAAAATCCAATCAGATGATATCGATCGAAGAATATCCGCCTAGGTGGCGGGCTGATCATGCAGTGTGCAGAACCACTGTTCCTGATGCAGGTCGTCTGCAGTGCACTGTGACCACTGTCTATGATATGGGATCAAGCTGACAGTGATTATTTATAGCTTCCATATCATGTAAGAAACCATCTGGATGGACATTCAAAACAATCACAACCATGATCACATGGGTGAGAAGACAGTAACTGTGTTACTGGTTGATCGCCAAGTCGAGTCTTAGTCTGTCAAACCCTGAATATTCTCTCGACTCTCTAGAACCCGCACAGACCAAGGCACCATCCTCCATTCCCCCAACCAAACGCAAATTACCACCAAATACCACCAAATACCATCAATACCATCAATACCACCCCCATCCAACCGTCCCTCGCCTTGTCAGTGGCGCCACCACCCATTTCCCTCCCTCTTCGGCCCCCGGGGTGACCCAAAGTTACCCATCATGGAGAAAGCGGGTCGCAAGGAAGTATCTTTTCGGTCTGGTTTTCCTGGTTCTTCGGGTTGTTTTTTTCCCTGCGCCACTGGTGGGTTCTGGAAATCCTCATTGGTTGGTTGCGCCCCTTGCGCGATTCTTTGCATGTTTCCATTCACTTCCCTCCATTCATCCCTACAAGTCGATTAGTAGTTGATTGCTTGGATGATCTGAATATAGTTGTCTGAAATGGAATAGTAAAAGAATTTCAGAAGAAAAAAAGAATTCCCTTTACCGCTTTTTTCATTGGTGTCTGATGGGTGTTTTTATTTTTCAATTTTCAATTCATTGTTTATATTGATTCATTCTATTTTACCTTATTTGGATTTTTTTTATTTTTTTTTCTTACATTTATTTATTTTATTTATTTTTTTGCCTCAGCTGAACGGTTCTCCGTCCCTTTTTCTTCTCGCCGACTTCCTACTTCCTCCTCTTTCTTCTCTTCACCTCTCTCCTCCTCTCCAATTCCCCCCCTCCCTCCCCTCTCAGGCCTCCGGTGGTGGTCCTTGACGAAGATCGGTCTACATACTTCCTATCCACCCCGACCTGATCACCCTCTCACGGTGTTGTCCCTTGGGTCCCTTGGTAAGTCCCCCCGTTAGGAGTCAATCCCCCCCCGCACTGTCAATCGTGGTCAGGCTGGACAATACTTAACCCCCCGGTGTTGTCCTCCCACGTCCACGTCCCTTGTTTGAGGATCACATGCCATATCTTCCCACACATTTCCATTCACATCCACACATCCAGTTGCTGACAGCAATTGCTTCAGAGCATCATGTCGTCCACCGCGATCCCCAAGCGCATGGCGCTGAACCGCAACCCCGGGACCGACTCGTCCGTTCCCTCCATCGCCCCCTCCCCCATGGAGAGCCCCCGGCAGTCCCCGTCGTCCACCTCCCTGTCGTCCATGGCCTCTGATGCCGAGGCCACCAAGGCTTCCTCCAAGCTCCTCGACACCTATGGCAACGAGTTCAAGATTCCCGACTACACCATCAAGCAGATCCGTGATGCCATTCCGGCTCACTGCTACCAGCGCAAGGCCTGGACCAGCTTGTACTATGTCTTCCGGGATATCGCGATCCTGGCCGCCGTCTTCTATGTCTTCCACAACTATGTGACCCCGGAGAACATCCCGTCCCTGCCCGTCCGCACCGGGCTCTGGGCTCTGTATACCGTCGTCCAGGGTATGGTCGGTACCGGTGTTTGGGTGCTGGCTCACGAGTGTGGTCACCAGGCCTTCTCGCCCTCCAAGGTGTTGAATGACACGGTTGGCTTTATCTGCCACTCCGCCCTCTTGGTGCCGTACTTCTCCTGGAAGATCTCCCACGGCAAGCACCACAAGGCCACCGGTAACATTGCCCGCGACATGGTCTTCATCCCCAAGACCCGTGACCAGTATGCGTCCCGTGTCGGCAAGGCCGTCCATGAGCTCAGCGAGTTGATGGAGGAGACCCCTATTGCGACCGTCATCCACATGCTCCTGCAGCAGCTGTTCGGGTGGCCCTTGTACCTCCTCACCAACGTGACTGGCCACAACCACCACGAACGCCAGCCCGAAGGCCGTGGCAAGGGCAAGAGCAACGGATACTTTGGCGGTGTCAACCACTTCAACCCCTCCAGCCCTCTGTATGAGGCCAAGGATGCGAAGCTGATCCTCCTGAGCGACTTGGGTCTGGCCATCGTCGGCAGCGCCCTGTACTATATTGGCTCGACATACGGCTGGCTCAACCTCTCGGTGTGGTACGGCATCCCCTATCTGTGGGTGAACCACTGGCTCGGTAAGTTCTCCCGAATCAATCCCCCTAAGATCATAATCAGTACTAACTTTGTGTCCAGTGGCCATCACCTACCTCCAGCACACCGACCCCAGCCTGCCCCACTACCAGCCCGAGTCATGGACCTTCGCCCGTGGTGCCGCCGCCACCATCGACCGTGACTTTGGCTTCGTCGGCCGTCACATCTTCCACGGCATCATCGAGACCCACGTTCTGCACCACTACGTCAGCACCATCCCCTTCTACCACGCGGACGAGGCCAGCGAGGCCATCAAGGGAGTGATGGGCAGCCACTACCGCACCGAGGCCCAGTCCGGATGGACCGGCTTCCTCAAGGCCCTCTGGACCAGCGCCCGCGTGTGCCACTTCGTGGAGCCCACCGAGGGCGCCGAGGGCGAGGGCAAGGGCGTGCTCTTCTACCGCAACACGAACGGCATCGGGCTTCCTCCCACCAAGATCCACGCCCAATAGATTTCGATCTGTCTATACATAAAACGTGTGACGTTGCAGTATTTATTTTGGTTTTTCCGTGGTGCTCTCGCAGGATCGATATGGCCACGATCTGGACCTTCCTAGAGCGACTGCCAGTCGGTTGACATAAAAGGCGTATTCGGGAGATGTTCCATTTTTATTTTTTTTCTCACTTTCGCTCTCTCTTCTCACTAATTGTTGTTAATTGCGAATGGTCTCATCGATGTTTTCTGCCATCTTGTATCATCTGACATATATGTTTGTGTGTGGTGTGTGGTTGTTAATACGCCTTATCATTGAAGGGATCAGATAGTGAGCCAAATCGAGCACTGCAGCTGAGGCCATTCTTCCCACGAGTTACGAGCGAAGCATCTCGCGCTGTTAGATCTGTCAATAGAACATAGCACCGTGAAGCGAGATATGATGTCATCAAAACCAACGTAGTAGCAACAACCTAGAAAAGCCCCAAGCTGAAGCCCAGACCACAACACTATAAATAAGTGCACGATCAATATAAAGGTGGATACAGCGATCAGAAGATCCCATCAAGCTTGTCAGATTGAAGAATGACCATCCCACCAAAGCACAAGTCAGATCGGGGCGTGGAAAGCAAGATGCGGGGCCGAAAAAGATATTTATATACTGGATTGGAGGTACTTGTAGGTTGGTAGTTCCGTGATCCGCGCACTAGCCTTGATTTGTCCTCTGTTGGGCTTTGACCACCAGATATGGTTTCACATGGGGTTGGACTTACTTGGTTTTTTTTTCTTTCTTTTTTTCTTTCTTTCTTTCCTAATATTTTGAATGTATTGTTGTGTTGGATAATGTAGATTAGAGCTTTGGTGTGTCATGTCGTGTCGTGTCGTGTCGTGTGGAGGCGAGGCGAGGTAATCGACAAGTGGATGGATGGATTGATTATACTTTGATATCTAAGGGTTTTTGTTCCTCTACTCTGTATACTTCATTGATGGACCCCTATGACCACCACTTCATGGAGTACAGAGTAAGTTTATAGCAAAGACCTAACCTACCTCTTTCGACATTCATATTCGAGATTCATATTGTAATCCGTGCTTCCGGGATAATTGATTGACGGGCTGTGTTACTGTGAAACACTGCCTACCTACCTACCTACCTCCCTACTACCTGTATTGAGCAGAAATCCACGAAAACCCTGATGATGCCAGACTGCCCTTCCTCTTTCTATAGGTGAGAAATGCTCCCCTGAGTCCGCAAAACTTGGGCAATAGCTGTGAGGTGACTGCATGTCAGCTGACTGGCAGAGAGCCTGCAGAGCTTTTGCACACCATCTATAGGTATATGTGTCTTGCAACCTCTTTAATAGCTAATATCTTGACTTGGTTGACTCTATTCTATTCTATGCTGTATATACGTGCCTGCACGTCCGTCACGCTATAAACAGTCTATCTCAAGCCTACCATGGTATCAAGCATCATGCACCAGTCATGGAGTATCATCCATCATGTCATAAAACCTTCATATATATAGATCTATCTATGTACATCATCCAACAGCTCTAAGACCGCCCTCCCATATCGTAAACTCAACCTCGTCACATATACCAGGATCATCCTTCCCGTAGACTCCTCCCCCCGTCCACGGGGCGAAGACAAGCTTCATTATCCGTCGGGTTGGCCTTTCGGGTCGCTCGAGGGTGTGGGAGGGGGGAAGACGGTCCTTTGCGGCGGGTGTAGTAGATGGGGGAGGTTCAGCGGGCGTTTCTTCGGTGGATTCTGGACTTGTCGTCTTATTTGGTGGTGCTTGGTGTGGTGGTTCTGTTTCATCTCCATCGTCATTGTCCCTTTCTACTGTGTTTGTGGACTGTAACTGCGGCTGTGACTGTTCTGGTTCCGGTGACGGTTTCCCCTCAGCTTGGTTGGAGGTATCTCCCCCGTCAGCCGCAACCTGCTGAGCACTGTCTGCAAAAACCAACTCGTCCAACGTGGCAACACGCTCTTCCTTCTTCAATGCAATTCGGCATGCAATCTGCGTCGCCCACACCAGACCCAGCGCGGGCGTCTTCAGAGCCGGCTGTCTCTGGTAAGGACTCCAGGTGGGGAAAGCCGACTGCCGCGTGTCGCCCCAGCCGGTGAAAAATCGCTGCTGGTGCAACAGGCTGAGCATGTCGTTGCGCACTGGACTCCCAACCAGGTAGGATCCGTCGAAGGGCGGCTGCTGGTGTGGAGGACCGTCTTCATCCCCTGCGTACGGCGAGGACGAAGCGGGTGAAGATGGTAGTGCGGTGTGCTGGGACGATGGGTCTAGATTCCCGGGTGAGTGCTGCATCCGGGTCCGCAGGAGGGGGGATGCTGTTGCTAAGCCGGGGTCCCGCTGCGACGGTGAGGAAGAGACGGGCGTCCCGTTCCCTGCTGTGGCTGCCCCTCCGATGCGGACGGGGGGTCTCTCCGTGTCTTCGAAGCGGTCTGATACCTGGTTTGCGACGACTACGGCGATGGACTCCGCGGCCGCCAGGTTCCGCAGCATTTGGCCCCGTTTGGCGAGTTCCCCTGAGCGTGCCGACAGCCCGGACAGACTCGAGGACGAATGCTCGGCGCGGTAGTTCGATGTGATGGAGTCGATAATGACCAGACCGACGTTGTGGCGCGCGACTACCACTGGAAGCTGGTAGTTGAGTATGTGATCCTGTGTCTCGAGGTCCATGGCGTTGATGGAGAGGATATTCTGCAGGGACGGCTTCGGCACAACTGCCGAGAATTCCGGGTGTGAGTCGAGCATTTGCGACAGACGGGAGGTCGATAGAGGCGCTTCGGTCGAGATATAGATGGCGTTTTTGGCTAGGCCGCGGGGTGATGGGAGCTGGACGGATAGAAGGAGACTGAGGAGGAACTGGGTCTTTCCACTTCCGCTGTTCTTCGGTCAGTATCCAGATATTTAAACCGATTTCAACAAAGATGCTAGTATCGCAGACGTACCTCTCACCCGTGAGCTCCGTAAGATACCCCGTGGGCACCCCGCCCCCCAGCAGCGCATCAAGGGCGGGGTCGAGCGTGCTTATCGCACTCCATCGTGACAGATCTAGCGTAGTTGCCGGGCCCAGGACGAGTGGCGCGTCGGCATTGAGGCTCGAGCTAGGCGGCTCGTCGGGAGATGGTTCGTCCTCGAAGCCGATATCGTGGTGTAGAGCGCGCACAAGCTGGGTGGTCAAGCGACGGACGTCGGCTGGGGGGACGTGGGCGCGTTTGGCGATCTCGAGCGGGTCGAGGGTAATGAGGTCGACGGTGCTGATGTGGCTTCGCTCTAGGGGTGGGATGATATGCGCGTGTGGTCTGGTTGGGAAGTCCGGGAGGACTGAGAGAAGATCCATAGAGGATCAATTCTATCAAGAGCGAACGTGAAGTGGATGAACTTGTTGGAGCTCGGGAAGATGGCTGTGAACCAATCAGATACTCAATCGGGTAATAAGCAGGCGGCCGGCATGAGGGTTCATCAATAACGAATACTAGGATTGTGATATGACATGGTCAATTCCGATATATTAGTACCTGGAAATATAAACTAAAGCTTATAAGGTACAGGTTACTGCTCTCCTGCGTTCCTCACAGCCTAGTGTTCCCCAGCTTCACGGTAGAGGCTATATTCATAGTAGATGATATATATACATCTCACTCCTCTTCAACTGTACTCAACAGCACATATTTACAAACTACAATTTACACACTCTCTCCTCGACCGCCCTCATTTGAATCTCCTGCACACCCTCCCCCCAAAACCGCTTCACAGCACCCCAATACCGTCCCGCATCCTCCAAAACCAACGCACAATGCTCCGCCTCCCGAAACACAACTTCATCGACCGCAAACCCGGCGCGCCTCGCATCCACCGCATGCGATCTCACATTATGCGCCCCGACCATCTCATCGGCCTCTGAAAACAAATACAGCCGAGGAACACCCGCCCCAAACACAGCAGGATCATTCAGCTGACGCCGCAGGTCACGCACAGAAGCCATGAGGTGCAGGTGCTGGAGGACCGTCACGGTCGCGATCGTGGGATACAGCAGGGCGCGGCCGATGGTGTGGACGTGAGGCGTTGTCTCGGTGGGAAGCGAGAGCACGGCGGCGTTGTATGAGCGGCGGAAGGTGGTGTCGCCGGGGGAGCAGTCGAGGATGACCCCGCGCAGCGGGAGGGGGTAGTTGTGCTCTTCTTGCCATGAGAGAGCGAGCTGCACTGCTGTGTTGCCGCCGCCGTGGGAGAATACATGGAGCAGGATGCTGCTGCTGCTGCTGCTGCTGTCGCCGCTGGGGGGTGTCACATTGGCTCGGTCATTGTGGGTGGTGAGGATGCGGGCGATTGCGTCGCGCGCGGGCTGGAGACGGGCGCGGATGGCGTGAATGGTACGGATGGTGATGTCGAGGACGATGCTGGTTATGAGGAGGATGCAGGAGTTAGGGAATTGCTGTCGGTACCCCTCGATGTACTTGTGGATGCGGCGGGGTGTTGCGCCGCCGAGCCATGTGCATAGGATGACGAGGGATGGATCGTTGGGGGTAGCGTCTGTGATTGATGGGGGCTCATAAAGATGGATGTTTTGCGCGAGTGACTGGAGTGGTGTCTGTGATGCCATGACGGTGCTTGCTGGCTCGTCTAGTGGTGAGAGTCATTGCTCTCTGGGGATGTTTAGCGTTGCTGGTTTGCGCCGCATGTGTTGAGGGGTGATCTTGATCCCATAAGCCGTAGTAGGGTAAGCAGCTTCTCGCAACCACCGAGGTTAATTGTATAAATTATGTCTTCCATGAGATATCCATGCCCATTATGTGCTTCAATTGTATGGTATCTCTGCTTCGATATGATCTGGATTGGCCTTCCTCATTGTTACACGCTATCATACCCTAGCCCATTATAATAGGCCAATGTTGGCTGTCTGATGCTCACCCAATATCAAGATGTCAGATCGCAATGAAAACCCAACTGGCCTTGATTCAAAAATACGCACAACTACCCATCGCCATCCAAAACATACTGCTTAGCACTATCTACGTGATCGCCCACCCTTAGCTCTTCTCTATCGGCCCACCACGCGGGGGTCAAATAAGCCAGGAACCACCGCCTCCACCACCACGAGGGCTTCGGCCGACCGCGCCGACCGAAGAATTCAAGGGATGGAATCTGCATACTCGCTGTAACCGAGCCCCGAGAATGCGAGGAGTATTCAGGCAATGGTAACGGAGGGCAAACGCATACTCGGTGTTTGATGTCTCATATGGATGGCCAAGGTGCCGCAGGTTGGTTTGTTCCCTGAGACAAGGCTCCCCTTACATTGTGCATTGGTATGGACTGTGCACACATGATGGTGCGTGCTTTCACTTGCATATTGATGGTGTATCAGGAGACTACCTATCGAGATTCTTGGAAAAGTGGAGGTGATTAGCTTGATGGATTACCTTGCTATAGACGTCGGCTGGCGAAGCTGCCAGGAAAAGACCATTCTACTTTGTGACCCCATGATGGTCAATCAACTGTACCGTATGGTAAGCTCCATGGTCAAGGTATTAGCAAGGCGCGAGAAAAGAAAAAGCAAAAAAGACTAGAAGACAAGATGATCAAGAAAAAGCTCACCATCGCCTCCTGGCGCAGCTGGTCCTTCCTGGAGCCAGGAGCGGATGTGACTCCTGCCATGTTGGGTTAGATCTACTGTAAACGTACAATAGCCTACTGAAGTACGTATTTAGAGAAGGGCATCCTCGCATAAACGATCATACTCCAACCCCATACGTACGCAGATAAAGTACCTTCACAAAAGGCAACTGATCCAGCCAAAAGGCAACCACAAGGCAACGGAGAAAAAAAAGGAGATGTCAAAGCGAGACACTACCGCGCTCAGTCGCCGGATACGAGGGCGAAAGCTGATACATCACATTGCAAGTCGCGTATCCACCGAATTAAAATGGGGGAACAATAACGGTCGTTAAACCTGATGCAGTTTAGCGGATCGGGGGACGTAGTTGGTGATCCTGCGATGGATTGGCAGGAGTACGAAGGATGAAGAAGGAGTCGGACCCATCCATCATCTCATTGTACGACGGCTGGATCAGTCGAGTGGTGATGAGGGTGATTGTTGACGGGTCAATTCTATTGTCGGCGAGGCCGATGTGACTGTATATGAGGTGAGTGGTGGGGTTGGCTTTTCAGGTCAGTGCTTCCTCTGGGTACTTCGTGCATGGCCTGGACGTTGGATCGAAAATGATATGGTGAAGGCTCGATATATTTGCCGATCGCTATACCACCGAGTCAGACAGTGGACAGAGGCTGCACGGCATTATGACAGTTGGGAGTCAGTTGACAGGTGAGTGCGACCCCATCGTTGCCCCACTGCACTCAACTATATCACCTGAAGACATGACAGGGGATGACACCGTTTCTTTCTTGCTCCCCTGGCTATTGGGGTGAAAATCAAGTGGCAGATAGAATTTCAGACGTATCGAATCTCGTTATTCCGATGAGCCATGTAAGGAGACCCCCCTTACCAAGTACTGGCTTGGACGACGGAGATTTAGGACCTGAGGCTTGAGGCTTGCAGATATTCGCAGAAAAGAGCAAATCAGGCTACAGGCTAGAAGATAGAGTCACGGAGGCGACTGATAGCGACGACGGCTCATTGGAGCTGTCTCACACGTTATTTTACATCGTATGAATACTCCGTAAGCCACACTTCCTATATTGATACGATGGAAACCTTGACGAAAGGCGTGCTACTCTACTCCATATCCGCTGGAGTATATACTTTGACAAGAGTGACAAGATGTGTCTGGTAGATACGAGGCAAGCGCCGAAAATACCAACGACGTCTGTATCTTCAAGATACTGATATGTAGAAAGTATAGTCTGACATGAGTGCCGTCACAATCTTCCGCGCAGGTACTGGCCCGTTATTAAACACACCCACCAGACGCAGTGAATCAACAGGGATAGATAGTCACCACATAGACACCACCTGCAGTCCCAACCAAATTCAGAAAAGTGTCACTAGCATTCCAACCCCATCCCTCAGCTGATGCATCTGGAATAAACGGGTAAATGGATAAGGGTGTGCGCTATATTTCGACGACGTCGGGCAAAGACGAGAGTTCATATATGGATGAAAGACGGCCAAGAAGTAGTAGGCAGGGAGGTACCTAGATATGCAAAGGGGCTGGGAATTTGTAAGAGTGTATTATCTAGCCTAACGTGCATGCATATGATACATAATCTCGAGATCTGCCGATTCGGTGAGAATTCCCCGACCTCAGGCTGACAAGGACCAAGCGATTAGGCCCTGTGTCTTGGTCCAATTACATTTAGGATAAATAATACAGATCGACGAGGGAAGGAAACCCTGCTGGTTGATAAGTTAAGTTACTTACAGATGTTTGTTTCTATCAATTAGATTAAACCCGGCTGCCATTGACCTGTAGACGTTTGGCTAGAGGAACTTTGCAGGATCGGCTAACGGTCATTGAGAAATTGTTTGCATGAACGTGTAAAGACCGTTGTTTATTAGGTAGGTATCCATGCAGGCAACCCCGGTACTGTGGTTATTGGCGCTACCACGCATATCAGTCCATAATGATGCCACTATACTAGGTAGACACTCTGACCGGATCGTGATGTGACAATATGTTGAATTTCGAGACCGCCATCTACTGATGTATCAAATTGAGACAGCCACGCGATAGCTACCAAATGCTCCGACAGTTATCCTACGCCGAAGCCAGACTGATCATAGGAGGTGCTGGGAGCACAAGGGATCTATCGATGAACATAGCGTCTATTCTCTAAGGTCGAAACTCTAACCAAACTTAATGACTGACGCATGGCAGCTACCTCAACAGTTTCTTGGTTGCCGGGAAGATCTGTCTGGAGGGTTCAAACGGCCGCAGAGGTAGTTTCCAAGCGATGAAAATTACGGCGTAAAAAAGCCTTTGATTACCATGGTTGGATCCTCCACCCCCGTCGGGTATGATACCATCAGATATAATATTATTCATTTATTTTTTCCAGTTATTCAATTATCTATCAATGGATCAGTCTGGAGAAGGTGACATGAGTACTGTCCAAGTCCAAACCAATCAACGAGAGTCACACGATTCTTCAATGATTTAGGACAACGCCCCATACCTGATCTGATGGTGTGTGGTCTAAGTGGGCCGTGGATTTTCCTTAGTGGCGCTTGAGGAGATTTTCCAGTTCTTCCGTCGTGGTAGGGATGGGATCCTTGCCCAAAGAACCGCCTTGCCGTCGCATGAGTAGTTGGAACATTCCACGGCTGATTCCATCACATTTTCCAACCCATCGCATCAAACCAGACCGGTTCAAGTCTCCGAGGAACCTTTTTTACTTTGTATAAAGTCTTCAGGTTTACCATATGGAAAATAATGCGAGAACAGAAGAAGCTTCTTGTATGGATACCTATCAAAGAGTGGATGGAGTCAGCTCTGGACCCGCTTCCCATCTATTCGGTGCGGACCGTCGGAGGGTGGAGACCATATATTATTGGTTATTCGATTATCTCCACCCACGGGCAAATTGGCAAATAAGCATTGTGTCAAGTTCTCCGAAAAACAGACGGTCTCGGACGAGCCGAGCGCCTGGCTTGAGAATGCGGCCGAGATCTCCCCTTCTTCCGCCAATGATGGATGAATTTTCGAGGACTATGCACGAGGTAGTAATGAGTTGTGCAGCCTCCTTGAAGATTTCTTTCCTTCTTTTTTTTATTTTTATTTTTATTTTTTATGTGCCGTGATGGTATGACAGTAGTGGTTCGTGCATGTGCCTTTGCCAGCTAACGATGTACCTTGGTACGGAGCATCTTGGGCGGTGGGCCTACTTTGCGTAGATAAGCACTTTTGTACCTGGTACCTACAGTAAGTTAATACTAGGTACTCTGTATAAGTGGAGGTATGTATTACTGGTACTAAAGACGAGTGACTTCGTCAGTCAAGGACACCCTAGCGATCGGCGCACCAAGGAAGCGGACATGGAGCCCTCTTTTCCGATATGGACAAGGATGTTCCAACCAAAACCAATGGGCAACCGGCGACCCATCGTGGGTGTGACAGATGGAGGGAAGGCCCCTGTTTTCGGCTAAATCCCTCTTGCCGGATTCAACCTAGCTCGGTCGTGGCTGGTGGAGTCAAGAGGTGATTCAGTGGTTGTTCAGACCCCGACTCCTGTCTTCTTCGGTAATGATCGCTCCCCAGACTCAGGTTTGTCGCCCGCTTGGGTCTGGTCGACACTGGGACTGAGTGATGTTGGGGACTCCACCCATGATCCTCGATCGGGTACGAGGTTAGTCGATCTGCTTCGATTCTTCTCTCTTATTTTCTCGTTCTTTTTTTGACTTTCTTCGGCTGAAGTATAATCAATTAGTTTTTATTTTTTCTTTTTATATCCTGAATGAAAGTCATTGTTCTTTTGCGAAATGCTAGATATGCTAGATTATTGAGATGTGAAACAAGTAATGCAGGCAAATCAAACAGGCGGTATTCTCTTCTCTCTCTCTCTCTGTGTGTGTCTCTTTCTCTTTTTCTTTTTCTTTCTTCTTGCTTTTCTTTTTCTGTAGTAAGTCTAGGCTGAGGATGTACTTTA